AAATTCTAGGAGATGGAATTAATAAATAAATGGGCTTTCTGGAGGGTGGCCATGTGTGCCTTCACTAATCTGATCTAGGTTCCTCAGGGGACACCTGAATGTTCCCTGAAGAAAGTTACACTCACTGAAAAAATAGACCATGTGATTATGACACTGTATATAGCAGGCATTGGCGGAGAAAACTTTGTGTGTGAGGGCAATGATATAGTCATAGGAAGGCCTTTAGTGCTTGAATTTTATTGCCTTCACGTTTGCGAATAACCTAAGTCAGTTCAGAGAGAGCTTAGCTTTTTTGAAATGCTCAGTGTCCCTCTCTGCCAACAGCTGAGTTGGTCAAGAATGTAGCCCTTCCTGGGGACCTTGTTAGGTTCTTCTAGGGAGCATGAGACTTGGGTGTGAGGACTGAGAAGATGGGGGATCCTACCTTCTGCTCTCCTCTTCTGTGTGTATGGAGAAGAGAGAAGAAAGTCTCTGATGTCCCTTCTCCTTCAATCATGGGCAGCTTGAACATGGCAAGGACAAAGGCTTCCTACACAACCCTTTGGATTTAAAGCCAGGGTGGGAGAATTGGAACTTCTAGGTTAGATTTCCACCAACTGAGAGAGGTGACAGAAACACAGGCATGAGTTGTGAGCTGCGCAGCTGCTAATGAAGGCAGATTCTCTTGCATTTGGAGAGCAGTGTCCATAAGAAAGAAGAATTTATAAAGGAGATGCTATGATTTTACCTCCAGAGGACTTGGCTCATGTCTAGCTTAAGGGAAGGAGAACAGCAGAGATGTTGTGTTGAATGGGGGACAGAATCTGAGGTAAGGCCCAGGGGCAGAATGTTAGTCCATGATACTTTGGAGCCCTCCTGAGAATCAATTGTGAAATCATCAGAACTTAAATATAAACATTCTTAAAAATTAAATAGCACAACCTCATAGTCAAATAAATTGTGATCAAACTGGGCACTGTGGCACATACCTGCATTCCCAGCGGCTCGGGAGCCTGAGACAGGAAGATCATGAGTACAAAACTAGCCTCAACAAGAACAACGCGCTAAGCAACTCAGTGAGACCCCATCTCTCTATAAAATACAAAATGGGGCTGGGCATGTGGCTCAGTGGTTGAATACCCCTAGGTACAATCCCCAGTACCCCCCAACACACAAAAAAATTGTGCTCAAAGCAAAGGTGATAAAAATTCACAACTCCTAGTTAATTTACCAGATTTTACTTTTATCAGGGTGGTGGAAATATTGTCCAGTGCTGTTGCTGAGCATCTCTTCCCAATCTCAAACTCAGTGACGTCATGTTAGCAACTTTATATGGGAAATCATGGAAATGTTCACTCATGGAAGTTGGCAAATGCTAGAAATCAGCAAATAGGGAGCTGGAGATTAAATATTTACATCTTTCTGCATTATCTATCAGGCGTTGTTGCAAGGAATTTATTTATATCAAGACATTTAACACTTAAAGAATCAGTGAAATACATGAATGAATATGGCCACCTAGAAGTTGACTATTTGAGAGGAAAGAAATGTGGATTCTAATTCCAAAGGATTTCCCATATACTTTGATACATTTTGGTGACAGTACAAGAGAGGTGCTGACTCCTGGGCTGTAGACAAGCAGCCCAAGACTTTGAACCAAAACCTTTTTCACCTTTCCAAGGCCTAAAAGCCTATCTATGCAGGTCTTCCTTACTGCTGGCCACCACAGGACCCAACTTACATTTCTTTGAAAAAATAATTATATTCCTTTACTTCCCCACCCTGAAATATCCATATCCTTAATGTCTTGCTCCCTAACCCTCTCAACTAAAAGAAACAATCTAGTTAATGGCTTAACAATTGGGATTTAGTGTATGGCAATGGATTCTGGGCTAGCTCTTAAGAACTCTGTATTTCTAATGGTTGCTAACTACAGCAGTGAATCTCTGGGGCTGGAACACCAGACAAATAGAGGGCTAGTGGGAAGATGTTCAGGGGCAGGGAAGACATTTCTGAGTCATGCACTCCTGCCACTGATTTTGTCTGTATTTAAATAAGTTCTGGGTCCTGTATCACCCTGAAGTAGGTTCCAGTGAAAGCTTCTTCTATGGAGTGGTATGGCTCTTGGCTTCCATACAGCTGAGTCAAATGATCTTAGATAGATTAATGATACAGACCAATGACTTTCATCTCCCTAGGTCAATGTCATAATAGCAAAGGACTGAATCCATGATGCAATTAACATTGTTCATGAACTGGATTAAAAATATGTGTTCAAAATAAAACACTACTATTCAAAAGTGACACTGAATCTATAGTTGCCTCCTGCCAGTAACTAGTTCCTTCCAGTGGTGGGTACTAACTACACAATGACTGTCACTAAGGGCCATCAGAATTTTCGTCATGATAAGACTAGACAGGAACTGATCATACACACTAAAAGAGGGCTTGGCTGAGGCAAATATAGCAGCTTCAGATTCCAGAAATACCAACTTTCAGTTATTTCCATATTTTTAAAAAATTTTTAAATTTGTTTTAATTACTTATACATGGAAGTAGAATGTACTTTCATAATCATCTATAATGGAGTACAATTTCTCATTCTTCTGATGTAGATGGCGTAGAATCACATCGGCCGTATAGTTATATATGTACATAGGACAATAAGGTCTGAATATTTCCAATTTTTTTGTGTGTGTGGTGCTGGGGTTGAACCCAGGGCCTTGTGCATACAAGGCAAGCACTTCACCAATGAGCTATATCCCAGCCCTGAATATTTCCACTTTTGATACAGATATAAGAAGAGATTTCAAGGACAGAGAGATAGAAACAAAGTCAAAGAATCAGATTCCACTGTTGTTCTGCCATCTGTTTTCCTCTCAACCATGGTTCCCGTATTTCTTAAAGAATGTCAGAAACACTGCTTGGCTGCAGCCCAAGAGTCAGCACCTCTCTTGTGCTGTCACCAAAATGTATAAAAATTTGTTGTACTTCCCCCATCTCAGGATATGGGGAACCCCTTGAAGTTAGAATCCACATTTCTTTCCTTTCAAATGGCCAACACTGGGCAGTGCTTTGCTTCTGATGGGTGATGATCTTTTCTAAAGAAATGACTTTGAGGATATAAATGAATGGAAAATATGAAAAAAATTGGTGTGTGAAGTGTGAAGAGATAATATCAGCAGGAAAATTCTTGACTTATTCATCATCCTTTCCTTTATCCTACAAATACTTCCAAAGTGGTGAGCACAGATAAATCTGATAAAAAATCGATTAATTCTACAGCAATAGCAAACACCAGCGCCATTGCTCTGGCTGACAGCCGTCTCAGCAAAGGAGAAGTACACTTTCAGAAAGCCAGAGAAAGGGATGCCTCCTTTAGGAAGGAAGCATCCTGGGGTGGCCCAGGGAGCCCGTGTGAGAACCACCGGGGCCCTCCTCGAGTCTTGTCTCTGAAGCTATCCTCTGAAGGCACCAAATGACCCCACATTGAAACACCTTGTTTTCTTCCACATAGTAAATTTTTTAAAGCTTGACATTTAGAACAAATTAGTAGTTTTTGTTGTTTTCAAGTAAGTGGTACTAGGAACACACCCTTGCTCGTAGTTCACAGACCACAAATAAAGGAAGGTAGTTTGGTAGATGAAAGCGTGTTTACAGAAACAATATGGTAGAAAAATTTAAATTGGCATGTTTTAGAAAATGATGCATAAGTTATAACTACAAGAACATCTTTATTCCGAGGCCACAGTAACTGCAAGATTTTTACAATTTCAGACTCTTATGGAGGAGGGAAGGACAATGGATTTTATTTCATTCCAAGGGGAATATGGAGCACAATGTGTCTTCAGGGATTTTATACTTACACATACATGTGAGCGCTTGTATATGTGTACATACATATTCATACACATATGTTACCCACATGTGCACCTATGCACACATACATATTCATACACACATGTAGCAATTGGACAAAGGAATGCACCAGATTTATTATAATCCCTGCCTTCAGATACCTGAATGTTTCTAATATACATGGAACAATTTATTTTTTCTATCTAAAATTCTGCATATTCATTCTCTGAAAACTTTATACTTCCTGAAAGCTTTGTCATTGTGCCAATGGAGATTTATCTTATTTTCATGTATGTCATTTTTTCTGTATTTCTCATGCACAAGGGGGCCTGATGCTTCATGTCCACACAATGTCCACCTTGTATTCAGTGTGTCCCTGAATCTGTCCTCAGCCTCAGCCTGGTTACTCTCACATCATGTGGTCTTGAAAACCCCCAAAAGTCATCTTGCATTTCCTCTGATGAGGCTGCCATAGACCACCGTGGAAATGCTCCTCATTCCACAGGAAATAGCCTTTATTTTTTAACTAGCCTGAGTTTCGTAGGGATGAGGATTTTGTGCACCTTCTTTAACTTTTTATCTTGTATCTATTATAGTGCCTGACAAGTAGAGTAAATCTGGTTAAATATATAAATAAACAGGTAACTGATTATATAAATAATTGCACACACACACAGAAAATAATTTGTTTTGGTCAATTTTACTTTTCTGTTTAATCCCATGTAACCCAAGCACTCACGATGCAAAAAGTCATCAATGAGGCACACACAGTGGTAGATAAGCACACTTTAAAAACACATACATGCCCATACACACAAACGCACATGAGCCTGGCTGATAGCTCTTGGTTAGAGAACACTTCCTGGCTTCTCTTCCTTGAAAGCAAAGGCCATGTACTTAGCTTGTATCGAAAATCCTGAGCTGACTCCCAGGTTCTGGGCTACCTACAGAGTTCTTATAGCTTACAGGGATTGTGGATGCACTCTGATGGTGGGCTATGACAGCTTCAGGCCAGATATCATAGCACTGAAAATCACTGTAGTTAGTATTCAGAGGCACAAAGGAAAAATCCAAAGAAACTGGACAGTGGCTTCCCATCCAGCCAGGTACTCTGCCGCCTCCTCCCTGAACTGCTTTTGAGAGCCTGGTCAGGTCTCTGGTGCTCAGGATAATACCTCATGAAGGCCTTTCAGCCTCTGCATCTGTCCCCGTAGGACTGCCTTCACTGCCTCATTGCGGAAGGTAAAGATAAAGGGGTTGAGGAAGGGGGTGAGGATGGCCGTTACCAAGGCTACAACCTTATTGACTTCCACAGAATGTGCTTTGCCAGGCCTGATGTACAGGAAGATGGTGCTACTGTAGCCAATGAAGACCAGGGTGAGGTGAGAGCCACATGTGGAGAAAACCTTCTGGCGGCCACTAGCCGAGGGAATGCGCAGCACAGTGCTCACAATGTAGCCATAGGAAATGAGAGTCACCAGGAAGGAGCTGAGGACAAAGGCCAGGGCCATGATGAAATCCCAGATTTCCAGCAGGTGGGTGTCAGAGCAGGACAGCTGCAGAAGAGGTGCATTGTCACAGAAGAAGTGGTTAATGACGTTGCCATGGCAATAGTTGAGAAGAGCTCGGGAGAGGACAGTGGGTACCATAGCTAGGAATGGAGTTGCCCAGGCAGCCCCAGCCAGTCGGACACACATAGCCCAGCTCATCAAGGTTCCATAGTGCAGTGGGTGGCAGATGGCCACAAAACGGTCCAGGGCCATATCTGACAGAATGAGGAAGGAGGTGGAACCCAGGGAAAAGTAGAAGTAGAACTGGACCATGCAGCCAGTGAAGGAGATGACTGCGTGAGAGGCCAGCAGATTGGAGAGCATCCTGGGAACCACAGTCATGGTCACCAAGGTCTCTAGCAGGGAAAAATTTCCCAGGAAGAAGTACATGGGAGTATGCAGGTGAGTGTCAGCTATAACCATGACTATGATGAGGGTGTTTCCCAGGAAGGCGATGAGATACAACATGAGGAAAGGTCCATACAGGAGAACCTGTAGCTCACCAAAAGAGGAGAAGCCCAAGAGCACAAATTCAGTGTGGCTCAGATTCGCCATGATCCAGGGCTTGTATCTCTGTATGTAAGAGAAACAAGAAACCCAGATGGAAAGAGGAATCATGGACCCTGACGCCATGGACCAGAGATAGGCAGGAACAGAGACAAGGAACAGGAAGAGGAAGCCAAGGAGCCAGCTGGTGATGAACAGGAGGACATAGAGCAAACGCAACAGAACAACAAAGGGAATATGAGAATCACCCAGAAACGGGGAGCAGGGAAGGTGTGGCCAGCCATTGATAAGGGGAGGGAAATCAGGAACAGAGTAAGAAAGAAAGCAGGGCAACAGACACTGACATTTAGAGAGAGAACAAGAAGGGAATAAAAGGGAAATAAACAGACAAGGAATCGAGGATCACCAAAATGGGGGGTGGGGACAGAGAGAGATGAGGAGACATGGAAGGAAAGAGGGAAGATTAGGGAAAATCATCCAGAACCCCATGGAGGTTGGTGATGGGACCCTGTGCCATGCCCCAGAAGCTCTGCACCAAGACCCTTTGAAAGGACCCCTGGAAATCTCTCTGCACTGTCTTCTAAAGACTCTCACTTGTCCACATCTTGCAACTATGACCTTCACTTGTCCTCCTTTTACAGCTATGACCTTGAAATTAGCAAAAAGTCAGTGTTTTGTGTTGATAAATTAGTTTTTCTTAGTTACCCTCTGGTATGTGCTTGCACACATTAAAGATAGAAAGGACACAAGAGTCTGGGGTATACCCATGGAATCCAGGCAGCTGCTTTTGCAGTGCCAGCCAGGTCGTCAGGGATGTTCCTGATGGCCTTCTATGCTACTGTGGTGTCCCTTCTCTTTCCCTTCATGGTACAAAGCATGAGCTATGGGCGGGTGTTTTGTAGCTGGGGCAGGGGGGACTATCTGTGTTGAATTCTGCATCCAACTCTTATTTGCTGTGGACCAGAAAACTGCTCCTCTTTTATTGACTTCTTCAATGACTCTTTCCAGGGACAAAATGAAGATAGGGTTACTGTAAATACTAGGGTTACTGTAAACATTAAATAAGTAAGTCACTTGATACAGTCATTTACATGTACTGTACTAAGAATTCAACAAATAAATGTTGGGTCTTTTTTTCATTGTTCTTAATTTAGTCATTGCTAATGAAGCTTAAATTTGCTTGGTCTACCAGCTCTGCACACTGCCTGTGTGCGTGGTGTACAATGTTAGATACTAAAAGGATATTGTGAAACATTTTAAACCCCAAAGCACATAAGCATCAACAAGCCTACTAGGAATGGAGAGAGCAAAGCTGTATACAGGTAACTCTTCTCCTTTCCAGGCTCCCTAAAATCTTCATTTGAGGTGGTGTCCCAGAAACCTAGAAATAGCATTCCAATTTAAAGAAGGCTTCTACCTTTGTCATTGACAAACCTTAACAGTAAGTCAATTCTACACCCAGCATTGACCAAATCCAAAATCAATCCTGAGTCTGTACTAATGTGAACCTGATGGATGCACAAACAAGCCACTCACCTTAGCCAAAGAGCTGAGTCTTCTCCTTGTGCTTCTCTCCTTTAGACACCTATGCCCGGAGTCTCCTAACAGGTTCACTCTGTGACATGGGTAACATAACATATGCCTTCATTGCCCTTTATTGGCATCTTGAAGCTGGCAGGGTAGCACAGGGCTTCATGGTTTAAGACTCAGCATGGCTGGGCAGGGAAGGCACTGCTGGTAGAGTGAGTTGGTGAACCAAATAACACCAGTGCTTATGTTGAACTCCAAATTCAAGTTTAGCCTATCTCACCACAAAGCTCAGGTGGGAAGTGGGGACAGTGGTGTGGGTCTGGGAGAGAGGAAAGAAGTGCTTTGAGAGATCAGAGAGGAAAAGGGCTGTTTCTTATCTCCCAAGGATGCGTGTTCTTGGTTCTATCTGCCAGTCTCCAGGACCTTGGTTTCTTGATGCTGGTTAGAACTGAGCTCATGCTGGATGGGAGCTTGCTCTCCAGCAGAGCGTTCTCTGTGGGAATGAGGGGAAGGCAGGGAGCCTCCTGGGACTGCTGAGATGCTGGTGATGCTCCTTAGGTTAATGAGAGTCCCGTGCTCTGATGAAGTGACATTGCCAAGGTGATCTGAGTGAAGACAGGGTAGAAGGGCTTAGACTCAGTTCCAAGGCAAGGCATACCTCTTGGCAGTCTCTTTCCTCCTGGGACAATGGAGAGAAAATGAGGATACAGTGAAAAGTTACAAAGGATTTTCCCCCATAGAAGTGAAATTTGAGCAAATTGGGTAAATGGCTAGGGCTAGATTTAGAATTTCCATTTGGAAATTTGTCTCCTTCCCAGATCCAGGTATGTGGGATCTAGGGAGATAGGGCATAGAGGTTCTGAACAATGGTGCCCACGTTTTTAGTTCTCCCAAGTGTTATTTGAAGAAGTTTGGTGATCAATACCATGACTGTGGAGGAGACCTCTAAAATGTTGGTTGGTTGGGAAAGAAGTATATGTGATCTACTGAACTCACCTCTTTTTGTTGGTAGTGAAGGGAGAAGGAAAGGATTGGATGACTGACTCTAGGTGTTTGGATCCTTAATTTCTTTGTATGCTGCAGGAATCCTCTGTTTTTATGGTGGGCTTGGGCTCTGAAAGCTTCACATTGCTGCTCTGATCCCTTACATCTCTTGTTTTTCTGCATCCAATCTCCAACTTTCTCCTGCACATCTCTGCATATTTTCATTGCTGGCAGAGAGTGGGAGTTGACCTCCTTGCCTCCAGCAAGCTAACAATCAGGGTAGGGTTCTGTCATCCTTGCTAGCAGGAATCTTAGGATAGGAGGTAACAACAACCCCAGTTTATGGGAGAAGAGGTGACTTTCTAGTTATCTTTTGCTACCTTAAAACAGTGGTTTAAGACTCAGTGACTTTATTATGTCTCCCAATTATTTTCCATTGATGCTACATGTCTACCAATCATTGCCCAGGAACCCGACTCTGCTAATGATTATTGCACAGGGCCCATGATGATGGAAGCTCCATTTTAACACACTCTTCCATGACCCTTTGAAAGAAAGAGAATGGTGAATTGAAAGCTGGTCCTTCAAGCTTATTCTTAAAGTGATTTGTGTCACTTCCATCCATAGCTCTCTGGCTCAGGCAAGTCCTCAGGAGGACAGCAGTGATGGGTGAACAATAACTGAGCATTGCAGAATTTCTTTTCTTTCCTTTTTTTTTTTTTGAAATTTTCTCTTCTTTGTGATTTTTAGGTTTGACTTATCAAGTAATATAGATAATTTCCATTGCACAGTCCCTGTCATTGTCGAGGTAAGAATATTCAAAATGGGCATTGCATTAGCATGCTCTCTCCCTCTGTCCTTCTTGGTCCCCTATGTCCTCCTTCTTCCCTCATTCAGGTTGTCCTGGACACATGTATTGCATTGACAGAATATCTGGAACAACCCTAACCTTGGCCCGACACCCTATGCTTCCAAAAATCTAAATTCCAGATGGTTCAAATAGATTTTAATATAACATGTAACAAATGAGAATTTTTTCCTTTTTAATTAATTTAGGAAATGAATATAGGCTTTTTCTAAGGAAAACACAGATCCCAAGAGACTAAAATCCTGTGAAATGTAAGTGCATAAGAATAAAATATTTATACTTGATAAGAACAAAATGTAAAAATTAAAAACATGTGAAGTAAGGTTTATTTCATTTACACACAAAATCATCTTGAAAACTAGTAAATTCATTAAAGAGGAATATAAACATTTCTATAAATTAGAAAAGGCATTTTACATTGTTCACAATTAAAATTAAAGAAAACTTAAGCCAAGCCCTGTAGTACAGGCCTACAATCCCAAGTACTTGGAAGTTCCTGGCAAGAGAATCACAAGTTCAACTTAGTCAGATTCTGTCTTGAAACACAAAATAAAAAAGCGTTGAAAATTAACCAGAATATTTTTTGAGTAACTGGTAACTGTTGCTTTTGACAGGGTGTTGGAGTGTTGGAGCACATTCTTACACTAGTGATGAAGGGGATTCATAGACCATATTTGATGAAGACTGGTATTACTGTACATTATACAAACATGCACACACACACAATTACAATTAGGGAATCATTTTGAAAAGGAAAGTGGGCAGTTGGAATAACCCCCATTGTAGCATAAAGGAGATGTGAGGGTGTGGGCATTTACACCCCTGCACCAATAAGGCCTTGGAAGCCCACTGTCTCTGATGAGGGGCTGTAATATTGGGGAGCATTCCTCTTTGGGGTTGATTTCTGGGGAGACCCTCCAGTGTGGCTGGGGCAGTGAGTACCTTGGTCCTCCCCGACAGCAGCATCCGCCCTGGCAGGGCACCTGGATGTGTCTGCCGAGGTCAGGGGAGGCATCTGCAGGAGAGTGATATATCCTGGTATCTGCAAGTGCTTAGGCAGAGCTGGGCGGGAGACAGATGAACCCTTCAAGGGAAGGTGGGGTGTGAGACAAAGCCCTGGGAGGGACAAGGAGAAACTAACTAGGTGTTTGAGGGCAGCGTGGGGTAGCAGGGGAATGAGATGATTTAGAGAGAGAACATTTAAACAGGATTTGGGGCTTTAGGCAGAGGTCAGTGAGAGAGATTTTAGTCATGGGAGGGACCTATTCTGAGATGTGTTCTAGAAGCTCACTGGGCCTGCTATGAGAGGAGAGCAGACAGAGGGAGGCAAGGTTAGTCATGAAGGTCAGGCAGGAGGCTTTGATGACAGTCAAGTGAAAGATTCCTTCTCATTTCCTTTTTTATGGACAAAGAACCTATATGCGGAGCAATGGCTTTATCTATAATAATGCATACTTTATCTATAATAATGCTTATTGGGGCAATAACACTGTCTTTTTCACTCTGTCACCAAAGTGGCTTTTCCTTTCCCTGGACAAGATGACTTCTTTTTCACCTGGGTTCCCAGTGGGAAAGCTGAAAGACATGATGATCTTGGCATTAACCTTGTTCACCAAACAGTTTTATCTACCTGTAAAATCAGTAACCTAGGATGGGTTCATGCACT